CAGATGCGTTGCCGGCCTTTTAGATTCAAATTCAAATTTATTTATTGCCAGAATGTAGTACATAATATTATGATGTTGTTATTTACTAATGAGACCTTACATTCTACCAAGATAATAAGGCGTGCAATATCTACAATATGCAAAAATATTATTATTACAAGTTAACGAGTTAAAGTATTTAAGAAAATATTTATGTAGTTATTTAAAAATATTTTAGCGTCAAGTATTTAAATTCCAATAAATATATGTCAAAAATTTAATTAATTAGGTAATTGCTTATATATAAATGTATAGTATTTAAAAAATGTCAAAAATATAATAAAATAAATATTAAAATATTTAAAAAAATAATAAGTTTTTCTATATTTCACCATTATTTTACATTTCTTTATAATTCATATATTCGTGTAACCTATAAAAACATTTTGTTACCAGCCATTCTGTGAGTTTCCTTTTAAAAATTACGAAAGGGAGGTCTTTAAAAGTGTTAGGCAATTTATTGTAAACTCTAATAACATTTATTAATACATTACTTTTATATATATCAAGCTTGCATACAGGCAGATGGAGCTTAAATTTATTTCTTGGCATGGCACTTCTACTGATTAAACTTGAGTTAATGGTGAAATATTGTGGATGCTGTTTGACAAAAACACAAAGTTCCCGTATGTACATACAAACTAGAGGCAGTATGTGAAATTTGTGAAATAAAGGTTTGCAACTATCTAAAGACGGAGCTCTACAAATGGCCCTTACACACTTCTTTTGAAAACGAAAGGCCTTGCCAACCTCAACCGAGTTGCCCCACAATAAGAGACCGTATGAAAGCACTGAGGAGGCATAGCCATGGTAAGCGCTCAGTGCCGCTTCATTATACACTGTCAACTGCAGCTGTTTTATAGCATAAACAAATCTCTCCAGTTTATCGCATACGTACTCTATATGATTCTTCCAGTCACAGTGTCTGTCAACCATTAATCCTAAAAATTTAGTACAGTTGACTTCTTCAATTTTTGTACTATCGTAAAAGATGTTAAGTCCAAGGTGGAGTTCTAAAATCCCTAAATTGTATCATCTTGGTTTTATTTACGTTTATTTTTAAATTGTTAGTTTTGAGCCATCTAAAGATTTTGTCGAGTGCAATATATATTTCATTTCCTATAGTTCTTTCTATCCTTACACTTAATAATTACAGTAGTCCGCAAACAGAACAGTTTCGTGGTCAGTGACGTATGGAAGATCATTAATATATATAAGAAATAAAAAGGGACTTAACATACTTCCCTGTGGGACACCGTATCTATTATTTTGCAACCGAGATCTGCTTCTAATTTTATTGCCCTTTTGAATTTTAGCAACCTCTACGCACTGTTCACGACCAGTCAGATAACTCTCCAGCCAGTCATGTGCTTTTCCCCGGATTCCGTATTTTTCAAGCTTATATAGTAATAATTTATGATCTAAGAAATCGAAATTAAATTAAAGCATGCTAGTGTCGTGTTACTATTTTTTTTAAACCCAAATTGCTCATGTTTAATAATATTTTGATCTGTAACATAGTCGTAAAGTCTTTTTATCATTACCTTTTCAAATATTTTAGGTAAATCTGGTATTAAAGTGATTGGACGGTAATTATTCATGTCAGTAGCATCTTCCTTCTTAAATAAGGGCTTAACGATTGATTTTTTTAATATTTCAGGGAATGTACCTTCCTCAAGTGACATGTTTATAATGTAGCTCAAAGGTGCACATATGTACTTAACACAGGCTTTGATTATTTTTGTATTTATATTGTCTAATCTTACTGAATTAGTATTATAAGGTCTTTTAATTATATTAATTATTTCAATTTCATCTGTCGGTTTAAAAAATATTGTGTTTAAATAATTCATATTCATAGTTTTATTTGTATTGGTCATGTCTATATTAAAATTATTAAAAGCTTCTCTAATGTCACTTGTTTCAGAATATATTTTTATTTAGAAAGGTGTAAGCTCTTTTCTTGAAGCTAGTTACATATACCTATGATATGACGATCGCTGACTTGTACCTAGAACATTTGCTATGTAAACCTACAGGAATGCAGGCGCAGCAATTCAAGCCACGTGCCGGATGTATAAAATATCACGTACTTAGTTACACCAAGCTCATTCTGTTAGATTAATTAGCTATAGTAACATAATTTGTAATTTTCATTTTAAATATATTTTATAAGTAAATTTGGTTTTTTTTCGAACCTCCGGCCGCAGCTAACGTAATTGGCGCAGTCGGTAGGATACTCAGGGGTGGTTTTGCGATAGTTAGGGAATATCTTTTCATAACCGTGAAGCACCCCGGCGGCTATCAAGTCCCTTCGAAGAGTATCCGGATCTACGGACCAGCTGCAGACCAGGAGGAGAATCCAGCCTTCGATTCATCGACAGAAACCAGATGAAATCCACGTGAGTACACTTGAATTGATCTCGTGTTGCTCTCCCTTATCCCTAAGTTTAAATCTTTCCTTTCAAGATTTATCATCCTAGAGTAACTCGTTCTCGGGAGCCTGAATCTCGACAGGCTCGCCGTCATATATTAGATAATAGTAGGCAAACCAATTTTGATTTAGAATTAGAATTAAATAACACTTATTTAACAGAGATGGCCCATGACCCGGACACAATTTTTAAGGCTTTACGCCTCGTCCCGGAGTTTGATGGGAACCCTAACGTTTTGAATAGATTTATAAAAATATGTGACAGACTAGCTTCACAGTATCTAAGCAATGCACCCGATAGTGAATTTTCTAATTTATGTCTTTTGAACGGTATTCTTAACAAAATAACAGGAACCGCTGCCTGCACTATAAACTCTAATGGTATTCCTGAAAACTGGTTAGGTATTAGGACAGCACTAATAAATAATTTTTCCGACCAGCGGTACGAAACAGCTTTATATAATGACCTTTCCTTAGCTTCGCAAGGCAATAGAACTCCACAAGAATTTTACAACCATTGCCAAACTTTGTTTAGCACGATAATGACTTACGTGTCTTTACATGAGACCATACCGACCACCATCAATGCCAAACGGGACCTTTATAGGAAAGTCGCAATGCAAGCATATGTCCGCGGCTTAAAGGAACTTAAGGTTGTATGGTTTACGTTGCATGCGACCATCGACAATAGAGAGAGCCTTAGAATATGTACAGGAGGAATTAAACCTTATGTATCTCCAACAGCGCAATGACTCTATAAAAAGTCAACATTCCCCCAAGTTCATTCCACTATCCACACCACCTTCCATTCCTCAACATCAACCTTTCCAAACTCCAGTACCTAATTGGCCAGTTCCTGTTAGGCAAAGACCTTACAGACCCCCACCTCAGCCATTCAAATTTCCTCAACCCATACCACACCAACAGCGCATGCCAACTAATACCCAGCGCATGTTCGGTGCACCCCCTCCTAACTACAACCAGCGTAGTAACGTGTTCCGATTACCACCCCGAAATAACCCTCAACAACCTCAGCCCATGAGTGGGGTCCAGCGTTTTATTATCAAGGCTTTACCACACACAAAAATGTTGACAGGACATGACTGGAATAAATTTGGCAATCCGCCACCAACAAATTATTTTAAATCCCGCGAAATGAATACAAATGAATGCGCTGCGTATAACGATTCATATTACGAGTATAACCCTGAATACGAGTACGCATACTACACCGACTATACCGACTTTAACAATGCTTATGCCCCGGATTTCGCTTCTGATTTTTCTTATTATGACTCGACTGACGAAAACCTAATAATTATTATATTCAAAATCAATCACAAGTAGAGTCTAAGCACTCTGATCAGGATCTTCAGGACGATTTGACTATAAAAAAAAAAAACAAAATAGAATTAAATCTTCAGACTCAAAGACAATTACTATATGTACAGATAGCAAACCCCCCATTAAAATTTTTAATAGATACTGGCGCGAATCAGTCTTTTATTAGCCCTGAAGCTGTAGAAAAATTTTTCAGCGATTTCCCACTTAATTTTGACCCGTTCGAAGTAACAAACATACACGCGACAAGTGGTAATAATTATTCTATAACGTTACCTTGTTTTTCTGAATTTAATGATTCCGATAAAGTGAAATTCTTTGTATATCGCTTTCATGACTATTTTGACGGCCTTATAGGTTTGGACTTATTAAGTAAATGGGGGCCCGTATAGATTTAAAGGAGGGACAATTAATAACGTATTCAGCATGTAATCCCATAAAATTATATAACTCGCGTAATGTTAATTTATACGAAGATATAATACCTGCCAGCTCTTCGAAAATATTAGAGTTCCATTGGATACAAAGAATGGCGAAGCCTATATTACGGATCAGGTTCTATGTAATTGTATTATTCACGAATGTGTTACCACTGTCGTCAATAATCGCGGTTATATTGAGGTAGAGAACCCAACGCCAAGCGATATAATATTTTCACTCGACCGACCAGCCCACGCGGAATTATTTAATATTGAGTGCACGCGTACCGAACAATTATCAGCACGCGCAAAAGACGTAGTTTCGCGATTACGTACAGACCACCTAAACGAGGAGGAAAAGGCTAATTTAGTAGCACTTTCCTCTCGTTACTCGGACTTTTTTACATCGAAGGTGAAAGACTCACTTTCACAAATAGAATAAAATATCGTATTCGAACCATGGACGAAGTACCAATACACACTAAAAGCTATCGTTATCCATTCATACATAGACAAGAAGTTAAGGACCAAATAAGCAAAATGTTAGATCAGGGTATTATAAGACCTTCCGAATCTGCATGGAGCTCACCCATCTGGGTTGTGCCAAAGAAAGTAGATGCTTCTGGCAAACAGACTTTCGCAAATTAAACGAAAAGACACATGACGATAAATACCCTATCCCGAACATTAGTGATGTTCTTGACAAATTAGAGAAGTGCCAATAATTTACCACCTTAGACTTAGCAAGCGGATTTTATCAGGTTGAAATGGACACTCAGGACATAGCGAAAACCGCTTTTAATGTAGAGCATGGCCATTTCGAATTCCTTCGCATGCCAATGGGCCTGAAGAACAGTCCATCTACGTTCCAAAGAGTTATGGACAATGTCTTAAGGGGGCTACAAAATCATATATGCCTTGTATATCTAGATGACATAATTGTGTTCAGTACTTCGCTCCAAGAACATATAGTTAACCTAGACAAAGTATTTAGTAGACTTCGTGAGTCCAACTTTAAAATTCAAATGGACAAATTGGAGTTTCTCAAACATGAAACGGCTTATCTCGGTCATATTATCACCAGGGACGGTATTAAACCAAACCCCGATAAAATTTCGGCTGTACAAAAATACCCTATTCCAAAGAATCCAAAAGAAATTAAACAATTTTTAGGCCTTCTCGGTTATTACAGAAAGTTCATTCCGAATTTCGCCCGTATTACTAAACCATTTACTCAGTGTCTTAAGAAAGGCAAAAAGGTAACAATAGACAATAATTACGTTAACGCTTTCGAAACATGTAAGTCTCTTTTGACAAACGATCCCATCTTGCAATGTCCAGACTTTACTAAAGAGTTTAACCTAACGACAGATGCTTCTAACTTTGCCATTGGTGCCGCATTGTCACAAGATCCAATAGGATCCGACAAACCAGTCTGTTACGCTTCTCGTACGTTAAACGAAAGCGAAGTTAATTACAGTACAATCGAAAAAGAACTTCTCGCCATAGTGTAGGCTACGAAATACTTTAGACCATATTTGTTTGGACGTAAATTTAAAATTTTGACAGACCACAAACAATTGCAGTGGATGATGAATTTGAAAGAACCAAATTCTCGTCTCACAAGATGGCGACTTAGACTTAGCGAGTATGACTTTACAGTAATTTATAAGAAAGGCAAAACTAACACCAATGCCGATGCTCTCTCACGTATAGAGATTCACAATGAAGACATAAAGATGTTAATGAACGAAATTGACGAACTAAACTCGTTAATAGGCAACCCAAGCGAAGGTATTGCGAACTCTTCGACTGAGATCGTACACACCAGTAACGAACACCCTATACTTGAAATTCCTATAGCTGACGAACCACTCAATAAGTTTAATAGACAAATTCACTTGACTGTTGTCAGCGACGTTAAACGAAAAACCATTACGACTAAACCCTTCGATACCCATACACGTGTTAGCATTCAACTATCGGAAAATAGTCTCGAAGAAGACGTCATAAACGCTGTAAAAGAGTATGTCAATCCGAAAATCAAAACAGCTCTCTTAATAAACCCACCTTTAGCATTATATAAAGTAATACCAATCTTACAGAATAAATTTAAAAGTTCTTCACTTAACCTTGTTCTAACTAAATTCGAGTTAGAAAATGTTAATGAATATTTGCGACAACAAGAAATTATTCGTCACTATCACGACGGTAAAACCAACCACCGTAGTATTAACGAGTGTTACTTAGCATTATCTCGCAAATACTATTAGCCAAAAATTAAAGACCATATTACAAAATTTATTAACGAGTGTACTATCTGCGGACAGGCCAAATATGATAGAAACCCATTAAGTCCTCAATTTAATGTAGTACCACCTGCAACCAAACCCTTTGAGATAATTCACATGGACCTCTTTACAGTTCAAAGTGAAAAATATGTAAGTTTTATAGACGTTTTTACAAAATACGGACAAGCTTACTATTTACGCGGCGGAACCGCTATTAGTATATTACAGGCCCTTCTACAATATTGTACCCATCACGGTGTTCCCCTAACAATAGTTACTGATAACGGAACAGAGTACACTAACCAATTATTTTTAGTATTTACTAGACTCCATAAGATAAATCACCATCGTATTTTAGCCCATTCACCTAACGATAATGGTAATATTGAAAGGTTCCATTCGACCCTTTTAGAACATAGTAGAATTTTAAAATTAAAACATAAGGATGAACCGGTCATCAATCTCATGCTTTACGCAATAATAGCCTACAATAGCTCAATACACAGTTTTACTAGATGTCGACCATTTGACTTATTAACGGAACACTTTGACCATAGAGACTGTTTTGACATCGACATAACCCAGAAACTACTACAGCAGTATGTACAGACGCATAGAGATCAAATGAAAAAGGTGTACGAAATTATTAATAGCACGTCACTAGCCAATCGCACAGCCATTATAGAGAGTAGGAATAAGGACCGCGAACCGGAAATAGAATACGCGCCGCAGCAGCAAGTTTTTATTAAAAATCCATCTGCCGCCCGCCAGAAAACCGCACCATGTTATACTCAGGACACTGTATTAGCCGATTTACCCATTCACATATATACATCTAAAAAACGTGGTCCAGTAGCAAAATCACGGCTCAAATGTGTTCCTAAAGCAGTTAATTTGTTACAGGATACTGCTAATAATGCTCCTTCAAAGGACTCAGACAACAGAGATAAAACTTGAAAGTCTATCAGACGGACCAGGACTACTACCGTATAAACTAGGACCCACGAAATTGACTACTCATAACCATACATTTTTACAGTACGTACGACTCGATGACATTTAAGATAATATCCACTGCCTACAGAATCAACTACTGACTTTCCAAAACCAATTGACTAACGATACTTATTTACTATACGAAATCCAAATAGATTATCTGTCTAACAAACTTGGCAAGGTGTTAAGTCATCTGAGAACCCTAAAGCCCAATAGAGCTAAAAGAGGTCTTATAGATAGTCTTGGTTTAGTCATAAAAAGCATAACGGGTAACTTAGATTATACAGACGCGTTAAGATATACCGAGGCAATTAAAACCTTTAAGGATAATCAACTGAGCGTTGCATCCGAATTCGATCAACATCTCAGCTTAAGTAAAGAATGGATGTCTAAGCATAGTAATGCAATTATTGAGATAGCGGAAAATCAAAGAAAAATGAATGAGACTTTGATACTTATATTAAATAGTAATGCATATAGGCAAACTAGTTTAATTAAATACGCTAAATTCGCGCAATTGTTAGAAATCATCATCATGATTACAGCCTTTCATAACTGCACTGCTGAACATAGGCATCCCCCAAGGAATGCCACAAAACACGGTCCTGAGCCACCTGCATCCATCGACTTCCTGCATGTCTTACCAGGTCGTCACTCCATCTCGTGGGGGGTCGCCCTACACTTCGCCTACCGATACGAGACTGCCACTCAAGAACCTTTCTTCCCCATCGGTTGTCGGTTCTTCGAGCTATATGGCCGGCCCACTGCCACTTCAGCTTACTAATCCGTTGGGCTATGTCGCTTACTCTGGTTCTACTGCGGATATACTCATTGTTAGAAATAATTAGTGATAATCTAGAGGACCTAATGCTAGAAATAATTAGAATAAAAAACACTTTAGCTTTTGTTCGTGCATCTAGCACGCATCATTCTATGATAGATATAGATGTATTAGGTTCCATGTTAAGTAAGCTTAGAAGTATTTACAGCTCAGATCAAACATTAAATTTAGAAATCAGAGACTATTATGACGTAATAAAACCCGGCTCATATTACACGGAGAAACAAATCGTGTTCATCTTTAAATTTCCTATAACTTCTAGAGATAATTTTGATTTATATAGATTATCCATTGTCACAAATAAAAATTCACAGGCCCTTGTCCCAACCTATCCCTTCATGGCAACTAACGAGTTATAATTCGCGTACACAGAGACAGTTTAACCACTGGTATCTCTGTGAAGAACGCACTACCTATCAGATTCGAACACAACCCGATTGCATCCAAGAGTTGATCACCAAGCAAGTCATACAAGAAGCCTGCAATCTTACTACTATCATCCTGTCAAAAGAAGCGATGGAAAAACTAGATGACCAGCATTATATCCTGTCCTTTCCACACTATACCAAGGTACAACTGTCTTGCGGAAGAAAAGAATTCACCATGCTACAAGGGAGTTATCTCATTACGATTCCAGCCAGCTGTTTTCTTAAAACTGTTTTTAAGTCTATCACGCAGAAAAACGCCGAGCATTGACCTTTCCATAGCTCGCTGAGTGACATTGAGCTTCCTCATACGGCCAGCAGTGAAGGACCACGTCTCAGATTCGTAGGTCATAACTGGCAACAGGCACTGGTTGAACAATCTAGTTTTTAGGTTCTGAGGTATGTCTAACGAGAAGATATGTCGTAATCTCCCGAACGCTGCCCAGCCGGGTTGAAACCGTCGATTGACCTCTCGTTCAAAGTTGGACTTACCTAGTCGGACTATTTGTCCCAGGCAAACATATTCGTCAACAATTTCGAGCTTAGTGCTCCCAACGGCTACCGGCATAGCTGTGACATGGACGTTAAATATGAATTTTGTTTTGTCCATGTTCATATTAAGACCTATCCATTGGGAGACACTATTGAGGTCATTGAGCATAGTGCTTAGGTCCTCCAGTGATTCTGCCATAAGGACTATATCCTCGGCAAATCGAAGGTGAGTGATGTACTCGCCGTTGATGTTAATACCGTATCCTTTCCAGTCCAGGTGCTTGAAAACGTCTTCCAATGCAGCGCTGTGTTACACGTGTCTGCAGTTGGATAAGTTTCGTACTCTGGTTCTGTACTCGGATAGCCATCGTAGTCCTAATGTACAAACAGTTCAGCACTTCGATATTTGCGGGCTGCAGCACCGCCCAAATTTCGACGGAATCAAATGCTTTCCAATAATTCACATACGCAAGACAAAGTGGCAGATTTTACTCTTCGGTCTTCTGTACAATTTGCCGAAGGGTATGTATGGAGCTAAAGCCTTTTCAAAAATTGGCTTGTTCAGGAGGCTGAAAGTTATCAAGTCTGCGTGCGAGACGATTCGTAATGACTCTCGATAACAGCACGTGATCCGGTTCAGAAGGGAAATCGGTCTGTAGTTCTTCAAGAGAGCGTTGTCGCCTTTCTTGAAAAACAAGACCACCGCACATCTGTTCCACGCCTCGGGTGGATTGCCACCATGGAAAACGAAATTAAAGAGCTTCTGAAGGATTTTAAGTACCGGTTTTCCACCTGCTGTCAGAAGCTCCGCTGTAATTCCATCTTTACCTGGGGCCTTGCCGTTTTTAAGGTGCTGGAAAGCTATTCTAATCTCGCTCAGATTGACGTTCGGGATATCATCGGAATAGTGTCGAATAAGACTTGCTCTTGAATCGTTACACACACTTTGCCTGTGGCGCCAACGATGACCTCACAACGATGGCCCATAGAACCTCTCAATTTCAATCAAAATCTCAGGTGTCTCGGAAACGATGCTTCTACACTCGGTCTTAAGCATCCACATTTGACACTTTCTGGCAGACAGATCTGTGGCAAAGACTTTGGAACCCTGGTTCCGCTCGATCGCTTCTTCAATACGAGCAGTATTAAAGTTGTGTAAGTCCCGCAGCATACGTTTGGAGATATTGAGAGATATTTCGAGCTTGTCTTTTATATCGTCCACTACATTGCAATCATCTAGGCACTGAAAACGATTTTGTAACTCGAGCTGGAAGGTTTCGGGACTTTGTATTAGAGCACGAGGGGAGCGGAGCTTTGACTTCATTAGACGTAACCTCTCCAACCTAACGTTTAGGTTCAATGTGCCTCTAACCAGTCGGTGATCGCTATCAGTTTTCACCCTCGCCATCACTGAGACTTCACTGAACAGTTGTTGTCTGGTCGTCATAAAGAAGTCGATAATGGTCATG